AGCTAGGCTGACGCCATGGCACTCACTCTAGCCTGGGCAACAAAGCGAGACTCTGTCTCAAAAAAAAAAAAATGTTCTGAGAGATAATATTAAAAAGTTTGAAAAGTTTTTGGATAAACTTTTTTACCTTCGCCAATGTAATAGAAGTAATTTGTCTATAAGTTACAAAATTTATGTGATTTTTGATATAGTATTCCTTACTAGGCATTAAACTAGGAAAAACAAAACAAAACAAACTCTCAAAGGTGGTTATCTAGAATTGGTTATCTCACCTGACTGGGCTTGAAAACAATGAAAATAGTGATATCTGAGCCTATTGAAAATGGTTCACTGGAAGTCCATGGCATGTAATAACAAAAAAGTTATTTAAAATATTACCTAGAATAAAGTTCTTATTGAAGGCAAGATTTTGGGAAACCAAATAGCTGCTGCAATTGACTTCTATGTTGGAACTTTTGACTACAAAAATTCTGGGGTTGCCTGACTGCTTTTGACTGCCCTGGAATGTTTATACAAAGAAAATGAGAAGTTTAGGGTGTGGTTAGAAAATTTGTAAGCCTCTTTAATAGTTTTATGAGAAACTCTTATCATTTTTAGCCACATACTGTTTATTTTGGGCAATACCAACCCTTATTCACAGGTTGCAGGATTACAATGTAAGCTGAACTCACAGACTCATCGTATCACTTATGTGGGAACTGGGATATTAACTGGAGAAGAGTGGAACTCTGAGAATTAGGATAAAGGCATTGTGTGGAATTCAGTGAATCTGAGAACCATGAATCCCCAAATCCCATACCTCCTTTGCCAGTAGGAACAACTGTTCCTCCTATATCTGAAGAGAAGTCAACGCCTTGCTTGAAGCCTCTGAATTGACCTTGCCCAGGTTAAGGGAATGCTGACTCCCCTCATGACCCATCGCACCACCCCTTACTGCTGTCAGACTTATAACTAGAATCAGACCTGGCCTTCCCAGGATGCCTAACATAAAGTCTGTCTTGGGAGAAAATACCATATATATCAAAAATTACCTTGCCACTTTGGTAATGTTTCTAGAGACCAATTGATTTGTAATATGTAGGGCTCTCTCTTCTAAAATGAAGGATTGTTCATTTGTTTCACCCATTATTAAGAAAAAGACACAGTTTTGGTGAGCCTCTGTAGTTTTTTGAAGGTGGGAGTGTGCTATGGTAGCACTATAGCCTCATTCAGGGGAGACCCTGAAAATTAGAGGAAAAGGGAAATCCTCTGAGTGGACAGAACATTGAGCAGTGCATCTGATTCTCCATATTGCCTGGATATCATGCTAACCATTGCCTAGTGATTTGACCATTTGGTGACTTGAAAGGCTGGGTAAGTGATGTGTCTCTCTAAACGAACAGAGTTATCCTATGTGAATGTTCACCACAAGAAATCTCTTGCACAGGAGGATTTCAATAATGAGGTAGATAGATACACATCCTGTGAATATTAGCCAGCCTCTTTCCCTGGTCATTCTATCTCTTGTTCAGTGGGCTTTTGTTTAGAGTGACAACTGCATCAAGGATAGAGGTTATACAAGAGCTGAATGAATGGCTTTACCTTCACCAGAAGTGATCTGGCTATTGCAGTGCTTAGTGCCTGCCTTGCTACCAGGAAAAATAAATATAATCTAAGAAATGGCTCCATTCTTCAGTGAAACCAATCCGCTGCTTGGACAGGTTGATTACATGGTTATGCTTCTATTATGAAATGGGCAATAATTTATCCTCACTGAATTGATATTTATTTTGAATATGGGTTCTTCTTTTGTCACCATGTTTCTTCCAGCACTACCATAATTGGATTTAATGAATGCCTTGTGTACCATTGTGATCATATTTACCCTCGCGTTACTTCTAATTAAGGAATTCATTTTACAGCAAAAGAAATACAGCACGAGGTTCATGTTCATGGAATTCACTGATCTTACTACATACCTCAGTAACCAGAAACTCTTGGCATTAGAGATAATTATAATGTCTTATTAAAGACTCAGATAAAGACTCCAGCTAGTAGACAACAATCAACAACTTTGGGGTACTGTCCTATAGGATGAGATATATGCTTCAAAATAGCAACCTATATATGTTATCTGGGATCAAGTGGTAGGAAAGGGGGTGAATAGTAGAAGGAGTTTAAGTATCAGTTGTGGTCTCATAACCATTTAGAGAAATAAAAATTGTAGCAGCTGTGCATTTTCTCCTGTTGTTTTGTGTATACATACACAAACATATTATATATACATCTATGTGTGTATATGTTTATATATGTATATATCCCAATTCTTTATTTTTTCCCTTCCTCTTTCCCTTCCTATTTTATTTTTATGTTAATACTTTATACAAGGTAGATAAATTTACTCTAGGTTATAGACTATGCCTCATTTAGAAGGAGAATTAATACCCCCACCCTAGAAATGGACCCAGTTACTGACAGTACACATTTCCTGCTTTGACCACTATCCTCCTTGGTGACATCTAAAGTGAGAGTTAAAGAAAATTCTTCTCCTGAGTGCAGCAAAATTTGATATCGGTCTGTTAAACTAGTTGTGCCTCCAAGTCTGGCTTGTGGTTTCTTTGGCAATACAATTCCCTCACAAATTTAGTTAGGCCTGTGATATGTTTGCTTAATTATTGGTGGTTGCCTTTGCAATTTAGTTTTTAGGTTAAAGAAAATTCGTTCAGGTTTATGACAAAATTGGGAGGATTAACATCACCCTGAAATGGATATGGTGATTCATTGGACTATATGTCTCTCTTTTTTGGGAAAAAGTGAGAGCATCTTTGTAAAAATAATAATTGCAATATGTTAGGCAGAAGCATGATGATGTTGCTATTTATTTTTTATGAAGTTTAAATATAGGAAGAAGGGTGAAAATGTTTACTGAATAGTCGAAGGGTGAACTCTGCGAGTTATTCGTTGGCCATCGACTCCATTGCTCACTATTTGCCAGGGGACTGGCAGCCTGTAAACTACACTTCCCAGAGTTCCTTGCAAGTGGGCTTCCACTTAGGTATTGTTAGTGGGAGACCATGGCAGTAGGTTTGAAAAGGGGCAAAGGGAAACTTCTATTTTACCCTTCTCTGTTTCTAGTGATGTTTTGGGCAGCAGGAGCAATGTCGGGTGATTGAAGACTCCTTGGTTTATGCTCAGGAATAAATGTGGTTCCATCGGCAGTACAGTGCTCATGGGCTCTGACTCTGGCAACTTTAAGAGTAGGAGAAGCAGCAGGTGGCTGTGAGCTGCCTCTTATAGCATTAGGAAGAGTATGGGCTCCTGGCTTCCTGCAAAAAGAGGTAGCAGCAGCAGTAGCAGCAGCAGCTCATGCTCCAGCAACTTTGGTTGTATAGATATCATGAGTTTTGATTTGTAACCATTTTCCCTTTTCACTCCAACAGAGGTACTACTTTTGTAACCAATCCTTATATCAATTTATTTTGGGGGGAGTATGCATTAAGCTTCAACTATTTTGATAATGACTTATTTCCTATTCTGGATGTTAGATAAACAGTCATTATATTAATACTTACTAATTATTTATAATGGAAAAATAATACATTAAAATAAAGATCGGTACTAAATGAGATGATATAATAATTAGTATTTTTCAGGAAATTACTCATAGAGATAATTAAAATAGCTTCAAAAATTCAATTAGCAATTATTTCATGGAGGTCAAGGCCTATTAGTGTTTTAGAAAAGGAATCTTTATATGCTTATAAGTTTTAAACATTCAAAATAATGTAAAATAAACTTAGATCTGTGTAAATTCAGTTTTGCTTTGTAATAATTATAATGGCAATCTAGTTTGTCTCTTAAAATATGTATTATTGCTTTCTTTTTTTCTTTTTACCTTTTAGGTGTTATGTTTGGTCTTGTAGACCTGAGCGTTACCAATTTCCAAAAGGACTATATTCTGAAACCCATTGAAAATTTTGCATTGTCATTCAGTTATGAAGTTTCATCTGGCCTGGTAGCAATATTCATCGCATTCTATGGAGAAGGGAATAAGAAAATAAAATGGATTGTAGTTTCCTCCCTTTTAATGGGATTTGGATCACTTTTATTTGCTTTGCCATTCAGTAATAGCAGATATGATCAATGGAAGGTAGAAACTGAAGGTAAGATTTTAAAATATACTGTCATATATCAAATCAATATTCATTTAAATCATTACCTCAAGAAACTCGAAATAGACAATGATACCTGTCTGTCTGTATATCCATTCATCCATACCTGAGTAATTCCTTATGTCTTCCACCATATGTTTTAATCAATGATGTCTTTGTTCTGACCTCAATATATACACGCAAGCATAAATACAAACATAAAGCCATAAATATACACACAAAAAAAGAAAGATCAGACCCTTTGTAGCTACTCCTGCTATTTCAAAATGGGAGCTGCTCTTTGACATAGTACTTCAATCTTAATTGGCTAGGCACGGTGGCTCATGCCTGTAATTCTAGCACTCTGGGAGGCCAAGACAGGAGGATT